ATGATTGTAGTACAACTCCTACATCTTTATAGGACCTATGTTATTGTAAAGTTTTAGAGCAAATAAATGACACTATTTTGAGATATTGCATTCTGCGTATTTTTCTTTTTATGTGTCATTAAACTTGGCTTAGCGAGGCAACAAAATTGTTAAAGTTATCTACAAAGTATTTTAAAATTTGTATTTTTTAGTTTTTTATACATAAAACTTTTAATTTGCTACTTTTTAATACATTATTTAACATTTTAATAATGGCTTAAGTACCATCTTAATAAGTTGTATTCTGATGTTTTTTTAAATCTAAAATTTTATTCTTATTGTTTATTCACCAACCAGTAAGTAACTACAGTACAATATACACAACTTTACTTTGTGTTTTAGAAAATGCGAAACGTTATGGCGACTAAGTATGTATTATTACTTTCAATCAACCTCTGTAAGCAAAAGCTCGAGAAATCTGCCACACTTGATGGATTTGAATTATCAAAGATCATATTAAGACTTGGAAGATTTCATTTACTAATGTCATTTTTTGGATCAATTGGTTATATTATGCAAGGAAGTGGCATACAAGAGGGTTTTTTGTTAATTTAAGCACCTAAGTAGTTAGAAAAAATGCTCAATTGCCATGCTTACGCTAGAGCTTTTAGAGCCCACACATTACTTTAGCTCACTTTAGTTATAATAATTTCGAAAAGGTCTTGCTATTGATGAAGAGATTGTAGCAAATCTTGATATTACCATTAAGGATGTCGTAAATAACAACGTTTTATATAGTGATATTGAAAGTGGTGTTAAAAATGAAATGTGCTATGCATTTCTTATTTAGTTTAATAAAAAATTAAAAGAATTTGGAAAACAAGGATCTACATCAAAACTATAGCAACAATATCTTATTATGGTGTTAATTGCAAAGGAGTTTATCAGAGTAAAACGCCTAGGAAATTAGCAAAGTTATTTAAACAGCGTTAAAGAAATGCTTCCTTATTTCCACGCATTGAGACATTTTCCTTATGTTAAGTCTGCGCACTCATACAGGTACTCTACAGGATATGCTACAATTAGAAAAGTTAATAAATCAAAGTGTTTATCAACGGTTTATCGAAGGATTTTTCACTGTTAGACGTTCTGATAAATTCAAATGTCGTACTTCAACGGATATGATAATTGAACAATCAATGATGAAATCAATGAAGACATATGGAGATGTTTTTCATGGAAGAAGTACAAAAGAAAGCGTTATAAGTAAATGGGTTTATGACATGCATGCTATGAACACTGTATATGAAGAATTAAAAGATCTTGCTGATATTAGAACGTATATAACAGATCAGCATGTAGATGCAGGTGATTCACGAATATAGAAAGATGATAAAGATATTAAAAAAAAACTTCAGCAGTGGTTTTTATCACATGATCATTTTCCTAAAATTAAAGAAATCATTTCAATTGCTAGTGGAATTGTTAGTGATAATAAAATTATCTGTCCTAAAGCTCGTGAAGTTGGGATTCTTCTTTGTGTAGGTGAAACATTTAATTTCAAATTAAAACGCGCTGATAAAGTTCTTCCTCTTCTAACTATGAGTAGCACCAAAAATGTTCATGATGAGAAAGTACCTGTAGATCCAGTGTTACTATTTTAACGTATGAGTATTTCTAAGACAAATGAAGATAAAATAGAAAAAAATTTTTGAGTATGAATTAGCTCTTTATCCTTTGGTTAAACTGACATGCGTAAAACACATAAATCAGCTATTTACAATTGCTTTGAATCAGTGGAAATTGAAATTGACAACACAAACGCTAGTTACATCATTGATGTAACTTGAGGGTATTTATTTCACCAAGTTGTGTTGGATCGAAAATCAACCTTGAACGTTACTTTTAATAAATACAATAAGTACGTTCATAGACATTTTAGTCATCGAGTGTCTATTGTAGTATTTGATGGTTATAGTGATTATAAGAAAAATATTAAAGCTGTAGAACAGCGAGGTCAAACCACAAAAATATCTTCTTCACCTGATGTCATTTTTGTTTTTTAAGTCTTGATTCATTTTTATGTTATGTTATGTTAACAAGCCTTGCTTCATTTTTATGTTATGCGAAAGGTTTACAGCTGCAAATATTATAGTGAAGCAAGCAGATAATGGCGCTTATGTCCTTATAATAGAAACAGCTATAAAACAATCCAATGCATCAAATAATTCTGTTGTAGTCGGTTAAGATGTTGACTCATTAGTATTAATGACTGCACGGACTCCAATTGGTAAGATTATTTACTTTTTAAACTCCGTAAAGCTCTTCAACCAACAGAAACATATTCATCAAAATGTTTATCTGCTTATCCAAAATTTCAAAATCATATCTTATTTTTACATGCAATTACTGGCTGCGATACTACTTCAGCATTTTTCACAAAGGGTAAAACAACCAAATTTAACTTATTTGAAAAACATTATTTAACTAATTGTGCCAAAGTGTTTCAAAAGATTCTCTTTTGAAACGCTTCGGCGCATTTCTCTTCACCACAAGACATTGTTACAAACGGGATTTGTTTTCTTCTTGCTTTACATGGAACTTCAAATAAAATTGATTGTTTAGACAAGTATAGGTACCTAACTTTTGTGAAAAACACCCGGAATAATTAAAGAGTGCAATTATTTTGTCTTCCTCTAACATCTGCTTCTTCTAGCCAACAATTGTATCGAGTATATTATCAAGTTCAAGTATGGCTAGGCAATCAACTGGACCCATTAAACGGAGGTTGAAAATTAGTAAATAATACATTTTAGCCGATTGACACTTTACTCCCACCAGCTCCGGAAAGACTTTTCAACACCATCTTCTACAATTGCTAAAAGGGTTGCAGTGCAAAATGTAGCTGTAAAAAAGTCGGGATATTATGTTTATTGGTGTGTATTATTGCCGAGGCTAGTCTTTCTCCAATGTTGAATCAAATTCAATAAATGATGATTTCGATTATATCAATGAGCAGACAATTGATTTATCTTTTTCACATATCCAGCTTGAAAATGATGATGACTATGAAGAAGAAGAAAGCGAAAAAGATACGAATATATAGTATATCATTTAATAACAAATAGTACATAAAAATATAATACATATATTATTGGTATATTAATTTCGTAAAATCACAAGAATTGCAGTTACTTTTCAAGGATTATATTTATAAATAAAATTGCAACATATTTTTTCACAGTATATTCTTGCAATATCTTCTCGCAATATCTTTTTGCAAGAATCGCAATATCTCAGGATTAATGATTCTTATGAAAATGTATATAGGCAATTTAGTAAATACTTTCATGATATAATAATTTTATATGATCTATATTTATAATAAAATGTTTCCTTTTTTTTTTTAAAAATAACACCTTTTTGTTTATACCTTTGACCTTGAATAACTTTTTTGCAGGTATGGTTTGGATCTGGACTTTTAAAAAATTAATTGTAATAATGTTCCAAAGGTATGTGCCAATATTCAGCTCAGTGCGAATTATTGTAAATTGATATGTTTATTTTGACCGGTTTATTTCTTTACAAAGAATTTTGAATGAAATAAATTCTTGAACAATATCATCCAGAGTGATGATATCATTGGAAATTGCTCTGAAAGATATTTGATAAGTTCTAAACTAACCTCACCCTGGTAATGCTTTGGATCTAGACATTTGAACTTTGAAGCAATCTTCCTCATCTGTTGAAATCGATTCTTTATTGTTCTGACCACAGAGTCTAGTGAGACCAGGTACGTATCATCCGAAAAATTATTTTGGGTATCTTCTTTTCTCTCATCAATTGCAAGCTCGTCACAATTTCGTTTCTTTTTTCCAACTCTTTTCTGCTTATAAACTGCTGCTTTGTTACATTTTACTATGTTACTATGATTATTCAAACTAGTATCATAGTTTTCTCTAATATTGTTAAGTTAAGATTCAAAAATTTTGATATAGCTGGCAGCAACTTTAAAAATCACCTTAATTACAGGAACCCCAAGCACCAAATTCTCTGTGTCCAAAAAAAGCTAATTCTTGTTCGTCTGAAAACAATACACCATCATTTTTTTTTTTTTTTTTTTTTTTTTTATTCTGCTTTATAACATAAAAATTTTACAACTTCGTGCTTCATAAACACAGGTCAGAAATTTAAGGTTTAAGTTTACTATCCGAGTACCCCAAAAATGTTAATAAATATAGTAAGTGGGGCATCTGGACACTTCATTTTCATATTTAGAAAAATCTGGGAGGTATCACATTTTTAGAAAATTGACATTGAAAATCTGATAAAAAGTCATTATTTTCGTACTTAAAAAAACTAAATATATTGACGGAACAGTAAAACTAACATAAAATAGCTTTATATTCCAAGTTTTTATGCTCTTAAATTTTGTATTTACACATCAACTTCATTAGACAGCTCTTAGATATATCTAAGTTGGTGAAAAAGGTATAGATATGCTTGAATTATATTAGGAACATAGTATGCTTAGTAAAGTAGAACATATTGATAGTATATAAGTAATTTAGTAAAATATTAGTATTGTATGCATAGTTGCCTAATAACCTAATATATATAAATAATAATAATATAATAAATACTAAATAAAATATTTCAAAAACTGTTTATACTAATGTATTTTTAGTGTCTTTTTGAATAAATTTACAAATTTTTTTAACTTTAAGATTTCAATAATGTTTATGTTTTGATGTACAATTAATGTTCAATAACTTATAAATTATTTGAACTGAACACTTCAGCAATTCTTTTGCTTCTTTCTTTATGTTTGTTGCTGTACTGCGAGACTCCAAACCTGTTTATTACACTTTTCATCTTGGAATGGCAAGATTCAGATGTCTGCTCATTAAACTGCCCAAGAGAAAGGCCACTCAAATCAACAAATGTTTCCAGATGTGCTGTTACAGCATGTACTTTCCAAGTAACCGTGAGTTGTGTACCTAAAAACTAAAAAAGCTTACTATAAATATGTTTATCAATAACTTGGTTTTAAATACAAAGGGTAAAGAAAACAGCAATTACCTCTCTGCAATAGTCTTGTGCATCCTTATAGCTTTGTGTAAAACTTTCAATTAAAATTGAATAGTTTGGGTCAAGTTTATAGCTAAAGACACCATGAACAACCTTATTAAATTTTCTCATTGTTTCTAAGAGAGGATACAGTTCAACAGGAATTATCAACTCAAGTGTGTCGCAACTTTTAAGTATCTCTCTACACGTGTTTCCTTCAAATGTTCCTCCATGGTAACCTTTTCGAAGGCATCCAATGCTCTTGACCCAATCTATAAATCCAGGCCAAAGTTGCATTATAAATTCTGCCACATGGTTAACAAATCCCATCAGAAGGTGAAGTTCTGGTAATGGAATCTCTCTTATTATACTTAGAGATTTGTCTTCTATCTTAAGCAGACAAGGATTAATGACATTCTAAATATATGGAAATAAATTTTTTTTATTCTTTTTAAAATGATAAAATTATAATGGATGATAAATTTTGAAAATATTTACAATATATTTACTCATTTATACCTTATATTCTTTCATTCTTTTCACCGGAGATCCTGCAGATGAATACAGTTCATAGTAATTATTCAAAGATTGAAATGTTCTTAACTCTCCAGAAAATAATTCTGAAGAGCCTTCACACCATGCACATGCATACTTTCCTCCATGAGCCTAAAATTTTATATTATAATTCAATTTATAAATATATTGTAGGGTAAAAAAAACATTTTTCTAATATAGTTTTTACCATAATATGCCTTATTATCTTAAAATTATTTAAAATAAACACACCGAAATTCCTAGCAATATGTTGATTAACTTCATGTCAGAAGCCAATGAGTACTTGCATTCATGCAATTTTAATTTTTCCACAATCATTGTCATGTTAGAATGATTCTCACTTACCCTTTCACAATAAGCTAAAACAAGTGACGTATTTGCTCCTGAGTATGATCCTAAGGAGCTGCTATCTTCTGTCCTGTCCTTGGTTGGATCAAACAGATTTACTATAACTTTCAGTGATCCTCCACCTATAAATATATATATGCTTACACACATACATATTTGTAAATAAATATGTACAAATAATATTTTTAAAAACAAGTTTTTAAAAAAACAATTATTAAAATATAATAAGTAATATAAATTAAACAAAATTAAATATAAATACCTGAATCTATTCCAACCTTTACAAATGTGTTTTGTGGAACCTTCCCTCGATATTTCATTACAAAATCCAAAAATGTTGTAATATCTTCAATATATACCAAGTGTCTCTTCACTGTAGCGTAGTCATTATCTTTTTCCTTTTCTTGAAAGTCTAATAATTCAGTGACATAAAAGTTGGAAAGTAGTTTACTTTTTTCATCCAGGGCTTTCTCTATGTTTGACTCAAACTTTACGCCGCTTCTCCTCAATGTTTTTAACATTTCATATGACTTCAATTGACTAAGTCCTAAGGTATTTACTAAAACTTCTACTTCATTATAAGGAATCTTTCTCTGGTCACTTTCCCGAGTACCGATAGTAATATGAATACTTTTACCTCCTTAATATAATATAAACTGTTATTTTAAAAACGTACATAACAGCTATTTTTATTTAACAATATTTTACCTGTTCTGAGAATGGCTTGAGCTTCTAGACTTTGTTCTTGATCAGAATAAATTTCTTTTAGAAGGGAAGAAGCTACTTGTTCTTTTACTTTTTTAGAAACTTTAGAAATACTCTCAGAAAGATTTGTGCTACTCTTTAAAGGGGAACATTTGTGGGGTTTACCTTTAGCAATTTCACAGAAACATATTTGGCAAAATTTCAGTGTTGAGCTAGTTCCCTTTTTTATACTTTTATTTAATAATCTATTTCTTCCTTGACTGCATATAGTGCATAATATTGAGCAATCTCTAGAGGTTTGCAAGCTAGACAAATCAGAATTTTTCCATTTTAAAGTAACTGTGTCTGCAATAGTTTTACCAGCCTTACAGAGATATAAGTTTTTCTTGCAACCTGGGCATAATCCTGTAGGGTAGGCAAATACTTTAAGTGAAAACTCAGGCTTACAGAAAACTTGAACCAGGCCTTCCAAATTTTTATTCACTGGAATGCATTTGTTGTTCTTTTCAAGGCAGCAACAGCAATGGATTTTTTGAAAAAGTACATGATTTCTTTTAAAATGGTATTCTCTCTTCTCCTTAGAGAGCAGAGGAGCCATAGATTCAATATATTAGGTTATCTATAATAAAATGAAAATAAAAATGCATAGTCAAAAAGAAACATTTTTAATAAAAAATGTTTTTTTGACTAACTTTGTGTATTCTAATAATGTTTATGTATAATATATGAACATTTTTTAAAATAAACTTCAACTTTCTGTCAGTATATTTAGTTTTTTTAAGTACGAAAATAATGACTTTTTATCAGATTTTCAATGTCAATTTTCTAAAAATGTGATACCTCCCAGATTTTTCTAAATATGAAAATGAAGTGTCCAGATGCCCCACTTACTATATTTATTAACATTTTTTGGGTACTCGGATAGTAAACTTAAACCTTAAATTTCTGACCTGTGTAAAAAAAAAGTAAGTAAAAACAGATAGGGCTCAAAGAAGATGAGGATGACAGTACGTCATCGCAATCTTTTCATAAAGCCTCTCTAATAAAATTTCAATATAATATCGTATTACGTAATACGTAATAAAATTTCATAAAACATTTCGTAAAATATATACATAATAAAATTTCAATTAAATCGTAGTAAATATCGTAATTAAATGCGTAATTCGCTAATAAGATTGTTAAACAACAACAACAAGAACAAAAAAAAGTAGAGTGCTAACATTAACTAAAAAAGTTTCTTAAATGTTAAAAATTTATTTTTTTGTTATAAACTTGAATGAACTTAATGAATTTACCGTACCTTTGAATCCTTTTTGAAAGGTAATCCATACTTTAGAACCTCGATATGAAATTCAATTTAATAAATATTTTATAAGTATTGGTCATCTCATTAATGGTCATAGACCATTAATGATAGTCTTTAAAAGTTCATTCTGTTTTTTTCTATCTGTCTTCTCTTAGAGGCCACAAGCTCACCCGAAATCAGTCTGTCATAATATACGAAAAACTTTGTTAAAATATAACTGTCTCACAGATTCTTCATAGCTTTTTGATGATTCGTACTTCTCAATTTTGGAGACATTTTTTGTAAAACTTTAATAAACTTTTCGCTCAAAACAGGCTGCTCCAAAAAAAGTCTGTTCTATTATTGTTTAAAAACCAGTAAGCAAAACAAAACATAGCGTTAACTCGTGACAATTATTTTCCTCTTCTAGTAAACTTTTAACGGTTTCTTTTTATACCACTCTGGATAAAGTGCTTTCCTTTGTCACCTTTTGTGAAATATTGAAAGTACACAAATTCCTGGTTGGCACGGTTCGTATTATAGCGAGTCTCGAATAACTGCTGGTGTGATGCTTTCATTGCAAAATAAGTGAGGCGCTGTTGGGTAGCTTACTTGGCAATTAATAATGGGCTTCACCGAAGTAGTGTGATCTGTGACTGAGTCAATATCATCAGCATCACGTTGTGGTGATATATCCGCACAATTAGTGACTGATTCACCATCATCATCATCGTCTTCATTGTCACCATTATCGTCACCATCATCATCATTAGACGAATTTCTGTATAAAAACTCTACATTTTTACTGAGGATTCCTATTTCACAACGGTTGACGATAACATTACAGTTTTTGCATCAATAGGTCAGAAAGTTTTTAGATTACATTCTTAGCATCAAAATAAAATTAAAAATAGAAGAATTTTTGAAGATAACGCACAAAAAGCGATGTTTGTGTCGTGTTTCTATATTTGTCGTTATCAAGTTTAAAATTGCTATGAATCAGTTTAATTTTTATTTAAGTATGTGGCTAGCACTAACCTTAAAAAAATAGGAAAGTAATTTACTCGCTTCACTAATACAAGTATTCGCTGTTTTTGAAAAAAGAGAAAAAATATTTGGCTTTTTTTCTTTTGTGTATTTTGTAACTATTTTGACTAAAAAATGTTTTGTTGCGAAAATTTCTCCGTTTCAAGTTAATACAAAAGTTTACACGCTTTGGCAAAATACATTACAAATGTTTTATCTTGTGAAACATTATATTTTTTCTGAAATATTTTTGTGTCTTCTTTAGTGTTATGATGTTATTTTGTCAATTCATCCCATAAGGGTTTTGTTATAGCAATTTCTAATAAACGTATGGTATAGAAACACTCCAACAAAGTCGAATTTCTATACAAATTTAAAAAAACAAAGCAAATAACGACAAATCTTCTACTTTATTGACAAATTAAATTGATTAAACATTCTTTATATAAAATTTAATATTGCTTCGATTAAAATTTCGAAAAAAAAAAATATTTCACACATGCAAAGTTACATAAGACTGAGTTATATATCCTCTTTATCGTCACTGGTATAGATTCTTGACAAAAATGTCGTGTTTCTACCCCAAAACATTTTACATGAAATGTTTCGACATATATATTCGAATAAAAAGGTTTTATATAATCTATTGATTAAATATTTTTTCTTTTCTTGATTTTAATATGTTCTTCGCAAATTATATAAATGAACTTTATCGTTTCATTGTAATTCTTGCAATGCGGCGTTGATTACTTTTAAGCATCGTCATCATCTGTATAGAATTCATACTCGCTAGTATTGTTTCTATACAAATAAAAAACCTGTTTACTCAGTTTATCACCATATTCATCGTATTGCAGTAATAGTTTTACTAATTATGTTGATTTCTTTTTCTATTACAAAATAAATAGATATCTTTTATCAATTCATAAAATCTTTTGCCTATTTTACTGTAAATTGATTCAACAGCATTATAAATTAGTTTATAATTCTCATTACTTGTATAGAATTCCTACCTTCTAACCCATACGCATGTAAAAAGATTTTTCCTGAGTTTTAAAATCAACTGGTATTGTTTATACACAAACAATTTCAAGTATAAAAAAGTATAAAACTGTTAAAGACAAAAAATATTCAATACAATATTGTAAAAAAATAATTATTTTATATGCGATATAACAAAAAAACATAAAACGTGAAAAACTTGTTTGATTTACATAAACTATCAACTAAATCTATGAATTAGTTGAAAATTTGTAATTATAGCTGAAGTGAAAGCGTTAAGGTGGCACACAACTGAAAAAAAGCAAGCTTTTTGAAAAAAATCAATTTTTAGATTTTTGGGTATTTTGATTCTATAACCATTCCTTGAACATATAAAAAAAAAAATTAGTCTCAAAAATGATATAAAAGTTGATTTAATATTATTTTAGTAGATGACACTTGAAAATAAATTCCCTAACAACGCCTTAGCAACCATCAGTCATAGGAGTTTTTCTGAATTCAAAACAGTAAAACACCATAACAAACTTGGTTTTAATTTGTTATACGCAGACTCTTGTTAGTTTTCCGTTTTAAAAGTCATAATTCAAAACTTTATTTTAGAGCAAGAGTTTTTTTTGATAATTTTTATGTTCTTATATATTTTTTTCTTATTTTTGCTTTTTTCTCAATATGTATTTTTTTAAACTTTGAAACACATTTTCTCATTAACAAAACAGAACTACATAATAAAATTTTCAGGATTTGTTTATCATAGTATAATACTTCTTTTAACCCGCAGAATTTTCATAAAAATTTATAGAAAGTGAAATATTGATGTTTATAGTGCTAGATTTATTGATATTTCATATATATTTTAGGTGATTTTGTTAGAAATGCAATATTTCATGAAATAATTTAAATCATAAAAATTCCCACGGTCAAGCAGGGTGAAATATTATTAGGAAGCTTTGCTCAAAATTTTAGTTTCAGTTGTTAAGGCAAAATTAAGTTATTAGGTTTTGAAAATTTACTAAAAACACATGTTTTACAACACATTTTTGGCCATTATGGATAATAAAATTAATTAAAAAAAAAAATTATCTGTTTTTTATTATATTTTAATATAAATTAATTGTCATTAAAAAAAAAAAAAATCAAAATTTTGATTATTTACAAAAAAACTTATTTTCAGTTGTGTGCCACCTTAAAGTAAGGTCAGATTATTCTGCTACTGGTAACATGTAACCCACTTTATATCATTCTGCCGTGCAGGATACGTTTTTTTAGACTAAGAGAAGCCAATTCCGACTTAAAACAACCCCTGCCAAAGAGATCTTGGTTGAGTAAAGGGTGGAGATGGTGTCTCCACCATTTTAACATAGTGGTATGGTATTCAATAAATTAAAAATACCGTCCTGCATAATTATTGTTATATATATAGATTTTTAAAAAAGTGGATAGATTGTTTATACTTTATAAAAAGGTCACAATATATATATATATATATATATATATATATATATATATATATATATATATATATATATACATATATATATATATATATATATATATATATATATAAAATAACAGTCTTGTTTTATTTAACTTTTCATTTTAAATACATATATAAAATTTTATTTTATATTTAATTCTTACAAAAACAATTTTAATCTATAAATAAGAAAATGAACTGAACTTACTAAAAAAGCCATCAGCTTCTC